GCATGTCTTGAGTAAAGGCAGAGGCAGGAATAGCTAAGTTTATATTTTCAAAAGTAGTGGCATGTTGCTGCTGCTACTGCTAAGTCACTTCAGTCGTGTCCGACTCTGTGACCAGGCTCCCCCGTCCCTGGGATTCTCCAGGCAAGAGCACTGGAGTGGGTTGTCATTTCCTTCTCCAAAGCATGAAAGTGAAAAGTGAAAGTGAAGTCACTCAGTTGTGTCCAAGTCTTAGTGACCCAATGGACTGCAGCCTACAAGGCTCCTCCATCCATGGGATTTGCCAGGCAAGAGTACTGGAGTGAGTTGCCAATGCCTTCTCCAAAGTAGTGACATCAGTTCAGTTCAGTCGCTCAGTCGTGACCGACTCTTTGCGACCCCATGAATCGCAGCATGCCAGGCCTCCCTGTTCATCACCAACTCCCGGAGTTTACTCAAACTCATGCCCATTGAGTCAGTGATGCCATCCAGCCATCTCATCCTCTGTCGTCCCCTTCTCCTCCTGCCCCCAATCCCTCCCAGCATCAGGGTCTTTTCCAGTGAGTCAACTTGTTGCATGAGGTGGCCAAAGTATTGGAGTTTCAGCTTCACCTTCATTCCTTCCAATGAACACCCAGGACTGATCTCCTTTAGGATGGACTGGTTGGATCGCCTTGCACTCCAAGGGACTCTCAAGAGTCTTCTCCAATACCACAGTTCAAAAGCATCAATTTTTTGGCACTCAGCTTTCTTCACAGTCCGACTGTCACACCTATACATGACCACTGGAAAAACCATAGCCTTGACCAGACAGACCTTTGTTGGCAAAGTAATGTCTCTGCTTTTTAACATGCTATCTAGGTGGTCAAAACTTTCCTTCCAAGGAGTAAGCCATCTTTTAATTTCATGGCTGCAATGACCATCTGCAGTGATTTTGGAGCCCCCCAAAATAAAGTCTGACACTGTTTCCACTGTCTCCCCATCTATTTCCCATGAGTTGATGGGACCAGATGCCATGATCTTAGTTTTCAGAATGTTAAGCTTTAAGTCAAACTTTTTCACTCTCATCAAGAGGCTCTTTAGTTCCTCTTCACTTTCTGCCATAAGGGTAGTGTCATCTGCATATCTGAGGTTATTGATATTTCTCCCAGCAATCTTGATTCCAGCTTGTGCTTCTTCCAGCCCAGCGTTTCTCATGAAGTACTCTGCATAGAAGTTAAATAAGCAGGGTGACAATATACAGCCTTGAAGTACTCCTTTTCCTATTTGGAACCAGTCTGTTGTTCCATGTCCAGTTCTAACTGTTGCTTCCTGACCTGCATACAGGTTTCTCAAGAGGCAGGTCAGGTGGTCTGGTATTCCCATCTCTTTCAGAATTTTCCACAGTTTATTGTGATCCACATAGTTGAAGGCTTTGGTGTAGTCAATAAAGCAGAAATAGATGTTTTTTCTGGAACTCTCTTGCTTTTTCGATGATCCAGTGGATATTGGCAATTTGATATCTGGTTCCTCTGCCTTTTCTAAAACCAGCCTGAACATCTGGAAGTTCTTAGTTCATGTATTGCTGAAGCCTGGCTTGGAGAATTTTGAGTAGTGGCATAAATGGGGCTTATTCTGGCTTCTTGACCTTCTAATGAAGACCCCCTAGAATGCATTTCAGCTCCCATTAATTTCATGGCTGATAGTTGATGTTTCTGATAATGTTGATTTGTTTGTTTGTTTGGTGGAGGTATTACTGTTCAGTTAAAAAAGGCTTCAAGGAGTGCAGCTGCTTCATTTTATTTCTTCTTTCATCCATCTAGCATCCATTTTGACCATTGATAGCTTTCTGTACTTGGCTCCATTGACCCTATCTCCCACTCTCACCTGCTTTTCACACCTTTTTTCTGGCAACACTCCCATTTTCTGACTTCTGCATTTTAGCTACTACTGTTCTATCCTAACAACTCTGCCCCTTGGGGGAATTTTCTGCCTACATTTATCTTCCTTTCTCTGAACTCCTAAAGCACATGGTCACATTCACTTGTTTTGTGCTTATTTATAGTCTTACCTGCCTACCCATCTATATCTGTCTACCTCTATCTACCTGCCTACATCCATCCACCTGAGTTCCTTGACAAACATTCACAAACTCCTTGACAATTTGTGTGAAGTTGTATGTAATGTGCATATGTGCATTTTTTAGAGAGCAGGTCTGTGACTTTCATTACTGCCTCACAGGGGCCTTTGATTCCAAAGTGGTTCGAACTACAGTATCAAGGCAATATCAGAAAAATAAAAAGTACTGGTTCAGTTGAGAAGAACTGGCCAAGTGCATAGCTAAGCTCTAAATGCAGAACTACACAAAAACTACTGATAATGAGAGACTCATGTCTGGAGACATCTCTTAGTCCTGCCATGTATAAAATATCAGATTTGTTAACATTATAAATCTACCCAATTACAAATTATATATACCTAGAAGTGATACAGATATGCAGAATTAAACCTCATGGTCTTATTAGGAATCATCTTTCTCAGTAGTACTGAGATTTTTCATCCACAGCTTTTCTGTGCAATATTCTTTCATTCAAATAAAGTTGAATTAAGAACTCAATATCAATTTTTAAGTGTTAAAAAGTTCCTTTTAAAAGATCTGTGACTAAATGTTAGTGTCACTCCGGCAATAAAACATCCATTCATGTACCAAAAATCTATCATGCAACCAGGTACTAGGCTTTGTCATGCTGAGGATACAGTTGCAAGCAAGATGTGATGGGGACTGAAAGATGATAAACATGTAAACAGTAAATGACAATTTCAGGGTCTTCAGTGCTGTGAAGAAAATAAGGCAGGTTACTGGAGAGAAATGAATGCAGGCAGTTGGCGTGCATTTGAGAGGAAACCCGACTGGTGAGGAGCTCTGGGTCATGCGAGAGCTGTGAAGCAGATGTGAGTGTTTGTCCAAGGAACGCTGAGGGAGACTAGTGGGGCTGGACTGTGTGAACAAGGTGCAGGGCAGGAAGAGATGAAGTCACTGCAGTACTTTTACACCAAGTGGATGCTGGCTGAGATTCTTGTTGACTGTGTGGATTCATGCACTGATTTTGTTACTTTACACTCTGAATAGGACCACTATCTTACTATTGTATTTTAGTTTACAAATGAGATTGAATTAGAAAAGCAGAGAAGAAGACTGACTTAGCAAGAAGAGAATGATTTACAGTGAGAAACCTCAAACCTGATTTGGAGTCCAGGCTCCACCATCTGTTATTTGGGCAATTTACCGACCGAGTGCAACTTCAGTTTCTTTACCTGAAAATGCAAATCCTGACATACCACCACCCCCCTCCACTCATCAGGTGAAACGGCATGTGTGAAAGCCCTCTCACTGCCCCCATGTTGCATCAGGCAGCTGCCTCAGTGAATCTCAGTCTGTTTTTGGCAGCTGAGAAACAGAAAACAAAGATTTGGACAAAAAGGGTATTTAATAATAATGTATTAACAAAAACAAGAAAAACAGCTATTATTTTGGGTCAGCAGTGCATTAACTGCACTAACTGAAGTCCTTTGTTACCTTCTTAGTCCTCACAACAACCCCATAAGATGGTCTGCAGTTATCCTCATTTTATAAAAGAGGTTATAGGGAGGTGGAGTGGAGGTTTATAGGGAGGTTCAAATGTGAGTGTTTATTCAGAGGCAGGCCCTCTGAATACCCTCATTTATTGCCTATTTATTTTAGACAAAATTAGAATCAACTTGCTTATGTTTTCCCAGCCCACAGATTTTAGTACTTGTAAATTAAACAAGGTTTTGCTGGAGGTGGGCACCCCACTGGCAACACGATAGAAACACATTAAAAGAGAGAGGAAAAAAAAGATATACACACACACCACAACACACAAATGAAAACAAAGCAACCAAAAATGAATCGATATAGTGGGAAAAGGGACAAATACCTTCACAACAGTCTTCACACTTCAGAACCTGAAGGTGAAACTCGACATTAACTGTAAGAAATGAAGTTAAATCACCAATAAAGGACAAATCATGGGCTTACTTTCCAAGGGAAGTACCTAATGAAGTTTAGAATATTTTTATCCAAAATGCTTAAGACTTAGAAAACAAATAATGTACTTAGTAGTAGTGTTAGTCGCTTAGTCGTGCGGCCCCATGGACTGTAACCCACCAGGCTCCTCTGTCCATGGGATTCTCCAGGCAAGAATACTGGTGTGGGTAGCCATTTCCTTCTCCAGAGGATCCTCCCGACCCAGGGATCAAACCCAGGTTTCCTTCATTGCAGGCAGATTCTTTACCATCTCAGTTACAGGGAAGTCCTAGTGTACTTATATGGAATAGTTTATTTCCCAATGACACTGAATTAAATAAGTCATCACTGTATTATAAATATTAACATGACATATAGTATGATTCTACTAATATGAAGCTCCAAGTCTTGAAGACTTCACACTTAGGAGGTAAAAATAAAAGAAGTGCAAGTAAGTGTTTATCATAAAGGTCAGGAGAGTAGTTTACCTCTGTGAGGAGACAATGGGACTTGTCACTAGGGAGGAGCCTGTGGGGACTTCTGGGGTCAACAGTGTCCTACTTCTCAACCTCAGGGGTGGTAACAGTGGTGATAGCAGTGTCATCCACTTTATAGTGCTCATTAAGCTGTACTGGTATAATTTAGCACCTTTCTATATTTGCATTGTATTTCACAATAAAGAATATTTGAAAAAAGGAAAGATAAAACTATATGACAAAGAATACAGGACCTCTGCTTATGTGCCTTTTCATGTATTTCACATTATTTTCTGACCCATCCTGTGAGAAAGGGAGGCAGGCATCCTTTTCCCCCTCCTCTTCATTTTAAAGAGGGGGACCCTGGAGTTCCAGGGGGTTACTGTCATCTTCACCCATAAAGTCAGGGGGCGAGCTGGGGCTGCCAACCCTGCTGGGTATTTCTAAGTGGTCAGCTCTTCTAGCCTCTGCCCCAGGCAATTGTGAAATTGTGAATGAATTTTCAGAGATGAAAACCTCACCTGTCACTGTGCTCCACAGCAATCTTGTGCTTGTTCTTAGAATCGACCCTGGCTTCCCTGACCATGTCACTCCAGGCCCTGAAAATCTTCTTCTGAAGAAAATGTACGCACAGTTTTCTTACTTCTTCATCTAGATCAATCAGGTGCTGGGGATGAAGACATAGGGGAAAGTGAGGCAATAATATCATAGACAAAAAATTTGAGCAAATAGTACAAAAGAGAAAGAATCCAAACAAACAAAGATCACTGGAGGCACAAGGAGGGTGTGGCATCCAAGGCCATATCCTGTCAGGGGTTAAAAAGATAGCAATGGAATCAGAGCGGGAGAGACCCTTCTATGACTGAGGGGGCAGGTTGCTAGTAAAATCACTTGAGCAATAATGGGACAAGAAACAGATTAGTATAAAAACAAAAGCTGATGTAGTGACACATTACAGTTTATAGGGATCTGTGTGAAAAGAAATGTGCTTAAGGTTTTATACTAAAAACTGACTTGACATTTTCAAATTCACTTCAAAGCAATGGACTGAACTGCCTCTTCTATATTGTTCTTGAAAAAAACATAATGACTGTTGACATCTGGAGTACACCTACTTTTCTTGCATAGGGTTGGGCAGAGACATGTATTTAAAACTCTCTTCCTTGTGGCCTTACCTGTAGCCAGCTCCGGATGACTCTCCTAAGCAATATTTGTGAATAAAATTGATCAGCCTGGGCCATCTTCTTAGCCAGGCTTTCCTGACTCCACTGGAACCAGGTCAGCAGGCATTTCCTCTGTAGGGTCAAAGAGTGATGCTCTTTGGCCACCTGGACAATGTTTTTAAATGAGAAAAGAAAATTATCTCTTATATCTTAAATCATTTAAGGAAATACACATCACCTTGGCAAGTGATGCTGTAAACCCCACATAGGCAGTTACTCTCTTAAGGACATTCATTTATGTCCTGAAAACTTTGACTGTATTATATGGGGATTTTAGATTCACAGAATGCATAGCCTTTCAATGCTGACTCCCTGAAGACCACAATGATTGTCTGGTTATTAAGGAAATGGAATAAACAACCTCCAAAACCATTAGGTCACTTGCACTGAGTTTTGAAGTGGGTGGCTGGCAACAGTCTGTTTTGATCTCTAGGAGCTTGGGCAGCAACTGCATAGCAAACCTCTCTTTATTATGTACTTAACCACTGTCTAATTGAGGAAGTGCCAATACTTTCAATTTGTTTTGTAGAATGAGCTGTCACTAGCATTGAACTTTAGACATTGAAATTTATCAGTAAACCACAGAATCATTTGATAGAAAAATAACAGGATGAATAATGTCTTACCAACTTACTTAGAGTATTATTCTATCAAAATAAACATACAACTCGGACTTTATAGATTTTAAAAAGTAACTGTTCCATTGTTTCAAGAGGTCAGAGGAAAAAGCCCTTCTCTCTTAGTCCTCCCCAGAAAGCTGGGCATTTTTTCTAAGCCTCATCTCACCACTGAGCAATTTGAATGTGACTGACCTGAATGAGTCCCTTGGCAGTCACATATACTGGCCAAAATGACCATCACAGGAGGTCTCTGTGGCACCTAGGAGCCAAAAGGCAAGAGGAGCCAGAAACACACTGTCTCCTACCCGCCCTCAGAGGAAAACACAAGAGAGCCCGGGAGAAAAAGATAGTCAGAAGATGCCTTTAAAATTCTAAAAGTGGTTATTGGAACAAATGGAATACAGTACATGTGAGTTGTAGGGAAAATGCTAAATAACTCTTCTGAAAACAACACAAAAATGCAGTATAAAGAAGCCAGTAACTGTTTAACTGGATCCTCTTTCATTCTTAATTTTTTCTATCCTTTCCTGGAAGTCAGCTCTGATGGATGAAGAAGCTACTGCTTCCTCTTACTATTCTCCAGCACTGTTACTTCTTTTTCTTTCTTTTTAAACTTTCAGCTGGTGGTTGGTATCTACATATCCCTCTGATTCCTAAACAGCGCAGAAGACATGCCGGAACTGGGCAGGGGTTTTGGAGGAAGGGGTTGCTGAGTTCCCTCCTAGCTTTGTGACCAATGTGCTGTGTGACCTTAAGCAAGTGAGTTTTCCTTTCTAAGGCTCAGTTTCTTTACAAATTGAAAGAGATGGGAGAGGATTACTAGTATTCTAATATTCTATTATCCTGTGTGGTAGGCTGAACAGTGGCTCTCAGGATGGCCACAGGCTAATCCCTGGAACCTGCAGATATGTTACCTTACAAGGTAAAAGGGATTTTGCAAATGTGATTAAGTGAAGGATTTTAAGATGGGGAGACGGTCCTGGATTATATGGCAGAGGTCTAAATGTAATCACAGAGTTCTTGTAAGAGGGAGGCAGGAGGAACAGCATCAATATGAGATGTGACATCAAAGTAAGGGATCAAGAGAGAATTGAGGAAGGGGCTATGGACAATGAAATGCAAACAGCCCAGTGGAAGCTGAAAAAAGCCAGAAGACAAGAGTCTCTCCCGGAACATCCAGGAGGAACTTGTCCTACTGACACTTTGACCTCAGCCCAGAAAGTCTGATTTTGGACTTCTGACTTAAACAGAAATTTAAGATAACAAAATTTGTGTTTTAAGACACTGTTTGTGGTAATTTGTTACAACAGTATAGGAAACTAACACACTTGTTCAATACAGTCTAGAGAGGTGGTTCTCAAAATGTGGTGCTCAGACTACTTGGATCAGAATCTCCCGGGCTACTTTTTTTTTCTTTAAAAATTTTTTTTTTGGCCATGGCACATGGGATCATAGTTCCTTGACCAGGGATTGAACCCATGTCCCTTGCACTGGAAGGTGGAGTCTTAACCACTGGGTCACCAGGGAAGGCCCTGGACTACTTTTTAAAAATGCAGATTCCTTGACACACCACCCCCACCACCCCGGCCAACAATGCAGAGCTACTGAGAACACCTGTGGGTGGGAACAGGAACATGCATTTTTACAAGCTTTCCAGATGGTTTTATGAATAGGAAAGTTTGGAAATGCTGGATTCATATCTGTGTTTCCCTGGTTTTATTTTAATTAGGTTTTTCTATATTTAAAGCCTATGCTGTCATTTTGAATTCAAACTCTGGTTTCTTTTTACATTCTTATAAATAAATTTTTAAAAACTTAATTTGGGGGACTTTCTTGGTGGTCCAGTGGCTGATTTCAAACTCCCAAATGCAGGGTTCCATCCCTGGTCAGGGAACTAGATTCAGTATGCCTCAACTAAAGATCCTGCATGCCACAACAAAGACCCTGCACGTGGCAGCAAAGATCCCTTGCAGTACTGCAACTACAACCTGCTGCAGCCAAATGGATATTAAAAAAAACTTGGTTATTCACCCATAATAATGGATTATTCGCCCATTTTATCTTGGGTCATTCACCCAAGATAAAATTCACCCATATTTTCTTCGTAAATTTTATACCCTTGATTTTTTTCAATCAAAAACATGGCCAAAAAAAGAAGAGCTGATAAGAATATAAGAGTGAGTTATTATACTCCCTGTCTGCTTTTGGTGTATTAATAATTAAAAGCAAAAAACAGACAAAAGCCAGATAAAATAAAACTAGGAGCATGCAAATGGATAGCAAACTATTTGATATGACTAATCTTTGTGGTAGTATATTACAAGAAGCAAACTTCCATTCAAATTTCATTTCCACATTCATTTACTCAGTAGATTAAGGCTTAGCCCTCCCATATCATTATCAGGAAAATAATGTAAAGAATCCGCCTGCAATGTGGGAGACCTGGGTTCAACCCCTGGGTTGGGAAGATCCCCTGGAGAAGGCAAAGGCTACCCACTCCAGTATTCTGGCCTAGAGAATTCCATGGACTGTACAGTCAGACATGACTAAGCGACTTTTTACTTTGGGGTAGAGATGGGGCAAAGCCTCCAATAGGAGGGCTCCTCATGCCCTCAGGCCTGACCACCATAAATTGGCCTTATTAGCTGGGTTGGGATACTCAGTAGTTCCAGAACACTAAGAGGCATTAAGAGGCAGAGGACAAAAAATCGGGGACATAGAAAAACAGTATGGTGGATTTACAAAAGATAAAAAGGAAAAGAAAGTGTGAAAATAGAAGAGAACAAAGAGAATGAAGGGTGAACAGATTAGCTAGGGGAGGAAAAAGAGTAACCTGAGTCACATTCACAAAGGTATAACTCGCAAGGATTCTTATGATGTAGGACATTATTCATCTTTAATCCTAGTTTTCACAACCAAAAATATTAGCCTTATTTTTCAGTATTCACTTGGCCAAATGTATAAACAAGAGTGGTCATAACTAGTATGCATTACTGACCTTATTATGAAATAGAATTCTACAGATAACATTTTATCTATTTTGAGCTTTTGATTATTTAGTTAAATGCTCTGTTCTGTGCACTGGATAAATTTGAATTTCAGTGGTATTTGATTTCATTTATCTCTGTGTGGTAGAATGGATTACTGTTCCTGATAATAAGATTAGACACCCACAGCTTGCTTGTGATTTCTTTTTTTTTTTTTAAACACAAAATTCACATTTTATTTAGGTTGAAATAAACTATACAAAATTGATTTTCTTCACCAAAAATAACAGCAATATTTTCTGTATTATTCCTAGATAAACTACAAAACACTTATTTTTGTAGGCTTTCTAGGCTTTGCTTGTAACTCAAGACGAGGCAGTAGATACAGTCATGGAAAAAGACAGAAGAAAACAGACAAATCAGTTGTCAGTATCCATGGCCTCTGATCCTTTCTTGACCATGAAACTGAAGTGTTCAACATATACCTGCCAAAAAGCTTACGAAGATGTAGGCTCAATAAAGGAATGTAAACAGCAATAACCAGATGTGGAACAACAATGGCAGGCTCTTCCATTCAAATTTTAACTTGTTGCTTTAACTTCATTTGATAAAGAGAAAATCTACACTGAAATCCTTGTTTGACAAGCTTACATGTTTCTCTTGTAGTCTGATAGTTTTCTTAACTGTCCTTTACAGATTTTTAATAGCATACTTATGACTCCTACTATTCAAAAGTCAGTCATGAGCTTCACTGTAACATTTTACAAAATGCATTCCTTCCTCCCATACCTCCTCATTTTATTTTTTCAAAGATCCAATAACTTAATACCTGACAATTTGATCCACAGTGATAAACGTAATGTCTAAAATCACTTAACTAAAACAGTTCCAAAGTGCCATTAGCAGACATCACATAAAACTGTAATATGGTACTTTCAGTGCTATCTTCTGGAAGAACAGTTAGGTCTCCAAAGCATGGGCATTCGAACAGGCCATTTAAACAGGCAGATTATCAATGACTAATGTACTCAATGGGAGGCCTACAGGTCAAGATAGTCAGTGATTAAGTGGCCTACCCTTACAACTTTTCTGTAAGATATTTTTAAATTTCTTAGAAGTTTTTTTTTTCAAATATCAAATACAAGAGAAAGTCTAGATTAAAAGTCTCTTAGGTATTTTCAATGGTTTCTGAATTATCTGTAGGAAACTCTGACCTACTTGTATAGAGTTTGATATATGTAGCCACCATTAAATCCAAATCATGTTTTATATCAAAATTTATGTTAAGCAAAGCCAAGTTACTTGACCTTTGATCTGTCAAAGTGTTCCTCAAGTATGCTTTGAGATGCTTTCGCCCATTTTCATAGCGTTCATTCTCAACTTTCATCACAGGAAGAATACATAGGACCTTCAGCAATGCATAAACATTAGGAAAAAACTTGATGTCTGGTAGATGAAGGGCTTCATAAATAGTGGATGGAAGTTCTATATCTTTCCCTCTATGTTTCCATTTGATTCTCCAACAATGCAGCTCAGCAGAGAGTGTGTCAGGATTAGGTAAGTCACTTCGGTACGTGTCAGCATGGTGCTCCTCTGACGTATTGAATTTGAGCTGTCCCATGACAGAGGGTACCAGGGATAAGCACTTAAGAGCTTTGAGGTGCTGTTCTGAGAATATATCTTTCAGTTCCTGAATAATGTGTTCCACAGTTGGAACACTTAGAGTTTCTCTATAGTAACTCTCAGAGGTTAGCTGAGATTCCAGGTTACTGTGCTGAGCTCTGCGAAATTTCCCTGGGAGTTTCATCTGAATATCAAGTTTGGTTGCCAAATTTGTGGCTTCCTCAAACCAAAATTCATGATAAACTTCAATATTTTCCATCACTTCATTTAGAGAATGTAACACTGCAGTCAAGCTACTGGCTGCAAAAAAGACACCAGAGGTTTGCCCCTGAAGATTTTTCCCAAAGGCTCTTGTAAAAGATAAAACATTTTTAAGAACAACAATGGTAACGATGAAATCAAAATTCTACAGATAACATTTTATCTATTTTGAGCTTTTGATTATTTAGTTAAATGCTCTGTTCTGTGCACTGGATAAATTTGAATTTCAGTGGTATTTGATTTCATTTATCTCTGTGTGGTAGAATGGATTACTGTTCCTGATAATAAGATTAGACACCCACAGCTTGCTTGTGATTTCATCCTGTCTCCCAATGGAGTAGATAGAGACCCTTTCTCCCCTCAGTGACCCTGAGTTTGGCCCTATGACTTCCCGTGGCCAGTGGAATGTTAGTGGACATTATACAAGCCCAGGTTTCATAAGCGTTTACATAATTGGGTTTGGCTTTTGTACTTGACATTTGCCAGGTGAAAGCTTCCCCTGAAAAACGGCTGGAGCCAGTAAGAGAGGCTGTGGAGAGACCTGAACTCAACCTAAACTTTAGTGGGAAATAAATACTTGGATTGTAAGCCACAGAATTTTAGGGCCGTTTGTTAGGCAGCTTTATTGCAGCAGAAATCTGATTGGACCTTATGGTAATGATTTTTCCTTTATTACATAGCTAACTATACACTGCTGTTTTAGCTACACACTGCTAAAATTGAGAGAAGCTTCTATTCATCCTGCCTTGGAGGTCTCTAATAAAAAATGAACTCTAGTTTTTTCTAACGTATTCTGTTACAGAAGTCTTTACCTACCTTGGAAGACCAAATTCAAACTGTTACCTGAAACAAACAAATATCCACACTCAATTCATTTATCTTTCTGACTTTTAAATCTCCAAACAACCTCCAAGGCCTAATTGGCTGTTTATTTGAAAGTGCACCTGTTGGTTTTGGGCGGGAGGTGGGTAAGAGTGTGACACTATACCTGGAGGTTTTGCATGCTTTGCATTCTTAGCCTCTTCCAAGGCTCCAGACCTTTCTTTCTTAGCAATACGCTTTCATAGTGTTCTTTGGCTATTGTTTCCAGCTGCTGGTTCCTCTTAATTCTCTTCTGCTTCTCTAGTTCTTTCTGGAAAAAAAAAGAAAAAAGTAAAAATGCCAAAGAGAAACCAAAATGGTGAGATAGGAGGCTACGAAACTTCCTTCCTCCCTTGGATGCATTGAATGTATAGCTACACATGGAGCAGTTCCCTCTGAAAGAAATCCAGAAACTAGCTGTGTGGCTTTTCCACATCAAGCAAATGAGAAAATACCCACACTGATACAACAATACTGACAGGAAAGACTGAGACACAGTCTCACCATAAACTCCATCCCTGGCTCAGTGCCATATAATCAGGATCCACAGGGATTCCTCAGTGTCTCCATGAAGAATGAAGGGTCTGGACTGCACATCTAGCATCCTGATTTTATTTTATTTATTTATTTTTTTTCTCTGTCCATGGAATTTTCCAGGCAAGAACACTGAAGTGGATCGCCGTTTCATTTAACAGGGGATCTTCCCAACCCAGGGATCAAACACACGCCTCCTGTTTCCTGCATTGGCAGGCGGGGTATCCACCAGCTGAGCCACCAGGGAAGCCCCAGAGAACAGTGCGGAGGGTCCTTAAAACCCTGAAAATAGAGCTACCTTTCCAGTAATCATTGCAGCGTTATTCACGGTAGCCAACATTGGAAACACCCTAAATATCTATTGACGGGTGAATGGGGTGGGGGGGATGTAGCATATACACACCAAGGAACATTATTGAGTCTTCAAAAAGAAGGACTTCCCTGGTACCCCAGTGGTTAAGAATCTGCCTGCCAACACAGGGAACACGGGTTTGATCCCTGCTCTGAGAAGATCCCATGTGCTGTGGGGCAGCTGAGCCCATGTGCCACAACTACTGAGCCTGTGATCTAGAACATGTGAGTTGATACTACTGAAGCTCAGGTGCCCTGCTCTGCAACAAGAGAAGCCACTGCAATGAGAAGCCCTCACACCTCAACTCTAGAGAAGCCGCTGCTTGCTGCAATGAGAGAGAGTCCACGCACCAATGAAGATCTAGCACAGCCAGATATAAAATAATGAATAAATTGAATAATTAAAAAAGAAAATTTTTTTAAAAAAGAGGGAAATCCTAAAGTTATGACAATGTAGGTGAGCCTTGAGGATATTGTGCTGAGTGAAATAACTCGCCACAGAGGAGCAAATATTGCACAGTTCCCCTTTCACAAGGTATCTAAAATGGTTGAACTCATGGAAGCAAAGGAAGGGATAGACACTTGTGGCTGCCAAGATTGGGGGCTGATGGAAACAGGAAGTTGCTAATCAAGTGGGTATAAGGTTTCACTTATGTGATACGAATTAGCTCTAGAGATCTGCTGTACAACATTCTGCCTATTGATACAGTGCTGTGTTTTGCATTTAAATATCTGTTAAGAGGGTAGATCTCATATTAGGTGTTCTTACCACAGTGAAATAAAAAAGATAAAGAAATGAATGAGACTATAAAAATGACCAGGCAGATTTGAAAAAGAACCACACAGAACTTCTAGAATTAGCATCCTGATTTTAAAGATAACCATTCAAGCAAGGGATAGGCCTCCCAAACACCTAGCTCTGAAAGCCAATAAGGCTTGTGTCCATGAGACACACAAGACTACACAAACAAAGAAACAGGTCTTAATGAATATGACGTACTCACTGTGGCTATGCTCCTACGATCAGTTCTGAGAAATCAGGCAAAAAAAGCCTATCACCCAGTCTTTCCCTGAAAGGAATGTGACTGCATATTTTACAAGCTGCTGCTTGTGGGTTGAGATTCGAATTTAGCTTGTATCTAGGAATTGGCTGAAATCCTTCCTAAAGGCTGAGAGAGCCTTTAGGTACTTCCTCTGCTTTCTCCCTCTGGCTCATTCCAAAGGTAAAACCAGATTGCTAGCATCTCTCTGAAGGGAGCTTATATACATGTTGGCTTATACACATGTTTTACACACTAACTTCAATTATTGTTACCTGAGAGGGATGGGCCCCTGGGCTTTGATAGCCAATGGAACTTAGAATCACAAGTCCCACAGGACTATGCAAACAAGCAGGTTTTAAATAGGCACAAAAGAACTCCAGCCCCATTGCCTTGGCCACCCAGCCCCAGGGCTATATACCTGGGCTCAGTGAAAGGGTGCAGGAAAAACACACATCTCTTAGTTTCTCCCTGGAAGGGGCTTAACTATACACACACACACACACACACACTCTTACCTATATATATATACTTAACTATACTATACTTATATTATATATATATACTTAACTGTATATATATATACACTCAGCACAGGTGCTGCTTGAGGGTACAGCTTTTAATCTGTGTGCATCAAGTTACTGAGTGAAATCCTTTCTTTGGGGACACTGATAGGCCTTGACACATGCTCAAACAGGCAGAGCTACTGAAGACAAAGACCGTGGCTTTGACAATCACAAAGGTTTGAGAGACAACCAGGAATCTGGGCCAGGCTGACTGATGAGTTCATCTTGAGACCACTCTGTCAAGACTAGGAGAGATGACTGTTTAATGCACAGAAACCAACACAGAGAGTCAAGAAAAATAAAGAAGCAGAGAACTATGTTCCAAACAAAAGAGCAAGATAAACTTCCAGAAACCAATCTTAATGAAATGGAGGTAAGTGATTTACCCAATAGTGAAGTCACTCAGTCGTGTCTGACTCTTTGCGACCCCATGGACTGTTGCCTACCAGGCTCCTCCATCCATGGTATTCTAGCAAGAATACTAGAGTGGGTTGCCATTTCCTTCTCTAGGAGATCTTCCCGACCCAGGGATTGAACCCAGGTCTCCTGCATTGTAGGCAGACGCTTTACCATCTGAACCATTATGGAAGTCCAATTTACCCAATAGTGTTTTAAAAATAATGGTGATAAGGATGCTAACTGATGTCAGGAGAGCAACACACAAAGTGAGAATTTCAACAGAGATAGAAAATATTTAAAAGTACCAAACATAAATCACACAGCTGAAGAATACAATAATTAAACTAAAAAATTCAACAAAGGAGTTCAACTAGACTAGAAAACTGAAGGAAAAAAGATTCAGCCAGCTTACAGACAGAACAGTGGAATTCATCCAATCAGAGAAACAAAAAGAAAAAATAATGAGAAAAAGTGAAAATAGCTTAAGGGACTAATGGGATATCATCAAAGGGAGAATATATATATTATAGGAGTCCCAGAAAGAGAAAAGGGCACAAAGCTTATTTGGAGAAATACTGGCTGAAAACTTCCCTAACCTTGATGAAACAGATATACAGGTTCAGGAAGCCCAAAAAGTATCAAATAAGATGAATCTAAAGAGATACACACAAAGACACTTTAAATTGTCAAAATTAAAGACAAAGAATCTTAAAAACACTAGAGAAAAGTAACTTATATATAGTACAAAACCATCAGTGGATTTTTCAGCAGAAACCTTGCAGGCCAGAGAAAAGGGATGTTATATTCAAGTGATGAAAGAAAAAATTGCCAATTAAGAATATTCTACCCAGGAACAGTGTTCTCTAATCAGTAATATGAAAATACATTAAAGTATAAACCTACTAATAAAGGTAAATATACTGTTAAATTCAGAATACTCAGTATTGTAATGGTGATTCACTTAAAACTCTAGTACAAGATAAAAGAATTAAAAATTAAATAATTTGATACACAATATAAAAAGATGTAAATTGTGACAGTAACACAAATATGGTGGCAGAAGTGTAAAAATGTAGAATTTTTCTATACATTCAAAGTTATCAGCTTAAAATAGACTGTTATGACTACAAAATGTTTTATATAAGCCTTATGGTAACCACAAAGCATAAACTTACAGTAAATATACAAAATATAAATCACAGCACAATACATATAATCAAAAGAATTCAAGAGGAAGAAAGGGGAAAAAAAAGAAAGTACAAAAAGCTAGAAAATAATTAACAAAATGGCAAAATAGCAAGCCAACACCTATTAATAATTACTTTAAATGTACATATATTAAACCCTTCATTCAAAAAACACAGAGTAGCTGAATGGATAAAACCTGACTATATGCTTTCAATGAGAGGCTCACTCCAGCTTTAAGGACACACATAGACTGAAAGTGGTGGGATGGAGAAGATATTCTATGCAAACAGGTAGTTTGGATTGTAAGGAGAGCAGGGGTAGCTACATTTATATCAGACAATATAGACATTAAGCCTATATAAAACTATGATGAGACATTATATCATGATAAAGAAGTCAATCAAGAGGACATAACAATTTAAATGATTTATGCATTCAACATTGGAGCACCTAAATATATATAAAGCAAATATTAACATTTTGAAGTGAGAAATAGGCAGAAATACAATAATAGTAGTGGATTTTGATAAGCCACTTCCAATAATGGACAGATCATCCAAACAGAAAATCAACAAGGACACACTGGACTTAAACAACAAGTTACATCAGATGGAATTAACAGACATACACAGAACATTTTATCCACTGGCAGCAGAATACATATTTTTCTCAAGTGTACATGGAACATTCTTCAGGATAGATCATATGTTAGGCCATAAAACAAGTCTTAATAAATTTAAAAAGACTGAAATCATATCAAGCGTATTTTCCAACTTCAATGTTAGAAATCAATATAAGAGAAAAACTGGAAAATTCACAAATATGTGGGATTAAACAACATGATTCTGAACAACCAAGGGTCATAAAAGAAATCAAAAGGAAAATTAAAGAATCTGATAAAATGAAAATGGAAACACAACATACCTGAACTTATGGGATGCAGCAAAAGCAGTTCTACTAGGTAAGTTTAAAGTCTTACATTAAGAAAAAAGATCTCAAATAAACAACCTGACTATACACCTCAAGGAACTAGAAGAACAAACTAAGCCCAAAGTTAGGAGTAGGAAGAAAATAAAGATTAAAACAGAAATAAATGAAATAGAAACTAGAAAGATGATTTAAAAGATCACAGAAGCTAAGAACTGTTTTAAAAAAACAAACAAAACCCCCCAGACAAACCATTAGCTAGACTA